ACCAACTGACTCATAACTTCAATTGTTCATATGAAATACCTCTCCTCTGTTAAACGCAGTGTGCCACCATGCCATTCTCATTACTGGCAAGTTATAGATGCAATATCTCCTATTGTTAGAAAGTTCCGCTATATAAACTAACAATTCCCATCGAATATCCATAAATGTTTTAAAATCATAAATGTCACAATTTGAATTTACATTTAGGATGCAACGCGAATGACAATACAAATTAAATGCACTACTGTCTAACTATATTCTTTAACACCAGTTTCATTTAGCACCGAGTATCGTGCTACAACAAATTACTTTGCAATAACTATATTATTCAATTAGCTATCACCTCATATAAGCATCAAATTACATTTCCAACCAATTGCCATATATGACGTGCGACACCATTATTTCACGAATTATTATATTATTGTTTGTTACAGAATCGTTGTTATGGTAAATTGTGTCGTAATGATGATAAATGATGTCATTATAATAATCGATTATGTCGATATATTAATCAATTATGTCATCACAATAGCCAATTATGTTTAATTATATGAAATATATATCTGTAATTGCTGTCATTATGCGCCGCTCATACTATGTATTGTAACATGTAATTCATGATATAATACTAATGCATCAACCGACTTTGACACAAAAGTGCATGACTATTTTTATTTATATATACACACATATATTCACTTATTATATAACATTATTACACAATTTAATTAAATGAATGTAATTTAACGTAGCTGATATATATATATATATGTTACCGCTTCTTTAATATATACATATTTTCATTTTTTAATATATTATTTCATTGAAATTATTAATATTGTACAATATGCACATTTCTGTGTTTGTTATTTGTCACACTTAATTTTACATTATGTCATAAAAAATTATTTATGTATTCATAAATATATATACATGTGTTTTACCATGTATATATCACTCGAATAAATATCATTTTGCGACTCATAATTAAATAGATTTAAATTGTATATTACGATATGCATATAACTAACAAAATACATCATTTGCAATGTTTGCCATCACATTGTATTATGATATTATAATAAATATAAATATATTAACATCTTATTGCAATGTACAAAGATATATATATATGCGATCCACCATTTTTTAAATGTATATGGCAATCATCAAAATGTGTATATACTTATGATGTTTGTGTATTACTTATGATAACTTTCATATTAAAAAGGTATATAATCATATTATTTGCGTATATCACTACAGTAGATTAACTATTTCGCTAATTTATATTAAATGTTTTGTTATATGATTTTCGTGTATTCGATGTTGTCACTTTCATATTTTGATTTATATCAATAATTGCATTTGCTGAATTGAGCATCGTATGTGGTTTAATGCTTCAATATATATGAACAGTTGCATTTTAGGATTATTAGTAACGCAAGCTTGTTAAGTGTACATGTTTCATGTTCGCAATAGTAAGCTTCATACTAAGATATACTTATTATATTGTCATAATGATCACATATGTGTATTATAGTCGGTTAGCGAATACAAAATTATTGTCTAATAAAGCTTAACGTAGTCAACAAATAGATAATTAATATATATGATACGTTAATTTGAATCGATTATTTATTGACTAAAAATTTTGTAACTTGATATATATAAGAAATTGGTATATTATAAATAGTGAGTAACAATATGTCGTATATTTGAGGAAATATGTATAATTAGCATGCGCAGCATTCAGGAAAGATGACATTAATATTGATAATACAAATCAATAACAGTCATATGAATACATAAATGTTATTGTCAAGGCAATAAAATAAATTAAAAAAATAATTAGTAATAAATATCAGTAATGTGATTTACCAAAAATATGTAGTATTATATAATTTAAATAACTATATTATTTATATATTCAATATAGTTAACATTATCGTATATAGTCATGATATGTTGTAATGTTTCTCATAGCACGTTATTGACATGTATATATCAGGGTGTAAAACGTAACAGTTGTGGATAAAAATTACGCAATGATGGAACAACAATTTTAACTCAGTATTCAATTAAGATACATGTTTCAATGGCGTAATGTTGTCACAATGTGAATATGTAAGCAATGTAAAATTGATTGTTATAAGCTCTATATAAAACGTGAAATTGCACGAAGGAAAAGAGTTACGCAATCATTAGAGTAGCTATATATATCAGGACGATGTGATCACGTGACATGACTGAAAAATGTTACATGTCGCATATCGTATTTTTCGACAAACATTATATAGTTGTTTATTATATTATTGATTGCCATCATATTGCGGCGTGTTGCATTTACGGTGTATTTTTAGGTCCGATTATTTTTGGCAGTGGCATTAATGTTATATAGCATATCTATATACGGTTGTACCCAGAAGTTATTTAGATTGAAGTAGGTTAACTTTTTTTCTCCGTCTATGCGTTTGTAAACTATTCGTGCATCCTTTATATGCGTTTTTACCCATTGCTNTTCGTGCATCCTTTATATGCGTTTTTACCCATTGCTTAACATTTATTACAACATATTGCCACCCATGTTTGACATGAGTGAAGAGTTCCACATGTGTCACGATTGCATCATCTGTTACTTGGTATATTTCGCATTTTTCCTTAGAATTTATAACTTTTAAGAAAATTCGACTTAGGTCGACTATGGGAGCAATGCTATATTGAGTATATATCCAATCACCTCTTTCCAGGTTAGCCAATATTACAACGGATGGTTGGGCGCTTTGAATGCTGGAAATATCGACGTTTATGCTGATGCACTTGATGATAGTTCCGGATTGTGTTGTGTGATAATTAAACGGGTGATGCAAAATATTTCGTGGTTTAAAAATTCCTTCCTCAGTCGGTGGTAAGGATAGAGTTATTTTTGTGACAAAGCTTCCATGTTTTATCCATAACATTAAAAACTCTTTTCCAGGTGCAATATTGACCTTAATGCTATGTGAATTGATTGACGACGGCGTAATGTTGAGATCACTTGGTGTATCATCTATATTTATAATGGGTGATATAAGGACTATTTCATCACGGGACCGGACGTGATTTATCGCAGATGCCTTCACCGGATCATACGGTGCCACACTGTAGGACAGCAGTCTTTTATCCATTTCCGTTAAGGTCAGTGGAACAATAAATGGATGTATTTTTCCCCCATTGAGATCAAGCCTTATGAAGATAGGCCCTCCTATGAATTTTTGTTTAGCTTTTTTATTTATGATTCTGTATCTAGCTCCTGCTGTTTCGTAAGTCCTCGTGATTAACGCTTTCCCGGTTGTATCGTAAAACTGACTAACTGTAAGAAACTTACCCTCTTCACGGCTATATTCTTGAACATAAACGTCTATTGGAGGGGTTGGAATGCGTGCTAAAGGAGTCAGAATCTGCCCGCCGTTTTTAATAACATCGATTTGACACTCCGTCGAGTGAAACATCCTATAAATACCACCGCCACTGAATGTACCTTCGAAAACATCTATACACGAAGGGAAAGACGTATGACTGAGATCTAATACTAGTCCACCTACTGGGTAGAGGCATATAATCACCAAAACTGCACATATGGCTATTTTTTTTCCATTCGAAACACCAGATATCATTTTTATGAACTTCATAGCTTACGTATTCTACTCAAAGCAACGTTCATTGCATTTAATGTTAATTGAAATAATTTATTTACCATAGTAAAGCCACTTTTATTACTGCTAGCGAAGAAAATTTTCGCTGCCCATAGCCAGATTTATAGTATTTACTGCGTCTGCATTATGATAAAGAGTATTGTGTTAATGATACATATCAACGTCAGTTTAGTATTACTGAAAACCTAGCAAAAAATTTTTCGTGTGTTCTCTT